GTAACGAGTAGAAATACAAAAGTGTTTCTTCAAAGAAAAAAGAATAGCTTCAATTGATTATCTACATCATGCAGATTGACCTTGTTGCGAGAGTAGATATATATGTTTGACAGGTGTGTTTCCGCGGTCCGCGGAGCCACGTGCGCCGCGAAAAGGATTTAAAAGCCACCGACGAAGAGATACGCGACCAATCGAGAATCCCGAGGTGCGAGGAGTGGTGGAAGCCGCACGTGGGAAGAACAAGAGAGAAAGAGAGAAGGCGATCGCTTCACTTAGCTATTTCATTACCTTCACTCGATCCTTGGCCGCAGTGCACACGGTGCCGCGATCACGTTTTGTTCCTCGCCGCGAATGGTACCGATCGGCGCGATCCTCGCGCGCCCGCGGACGAATGGACCGCGCGTTACATAATAAAAAGACCGAGTGATCCACTTTTCCGAGGGGGAAAAACGATCGCGGATTTTGCTGGCAAAAAAAAAAAAAAAAAAAAAAACGGCGACGCCGACATGTTTATCGTACAGCAGGAGCGGTGGGATCCAAGGAGATCGTATGTTCGCGTTACTTCGTGAGTTTCAAGTACGGTTCAGAAAATACGTCCTTTTAGTCTTATCTAGCATTTCAGCTGATAAGCTGACGTTATTTCTCATCTGTTTTTTTCATGTTAAATCACATCAAAGATATTAATTTCATGTCAAAATGACGAAAAATACCGTCGACTTTCCAAGAAGCGCCAAGTTCAAGAGAGAATCAAAATTACTTTATTTTTTAGCATCGTGAAAGTAATGATTTTTGGTTAAAATAAATTTGACGGTTTATTGATGTCAAGTATAAAAATGCAGTAATTTTGATTTCTTGTTGACTTTTATGCGTACGTTCGTTGGTTTCCCTCATTTGTGTCAACAATTTTATTTTATGTGTCGAAACAACAGTTGATTAATATTCATCTCCATTATTATTATTGACTAAGAAGTTTGCATTGCTTTCAATGAAATGCCTCTTAACTGTAAATACACACACACACACACACACATATATATATATATATACACCAACAGTA